GGGTAATCCCACCCAACAGGGCCACAGGTGCCCACCACCCTCCTGGGGGTAATCCCACCCAACAGAGCCGCAGGTGCCCACCACCCTCCTGGGGGCAATCCCACCCAACAGGGCCACAGGTGCCCACCACCCTCCTGGGGGTAAACCCACCCAACAGGGCTGCAAGTGCCCACCACCCTCCTGGGGGTAATCCCACCCAACAGGGCTGCAGGTGCCCACCACCCTCCTGGGGGTAATCCCACTCAACAGGGCTGCAGGTACCCACCACCCTCCTGGGGGTAATCCCACTCAACAGGGCTGCAGGTGCCCACCACCCTCCTGGGGGTGGCTGGCGAGCTTACCCTGCCACCCTTTCAGTTAGTGGCCCAAAGCTTCGTCCACCACCAAGACACCTTCGTGCATGGTGCTCGACATGAAGAACTTAGAGAAGCTTGCACGGGTGGGTAGGAAGAGGCCTCGGGACGAGTCACGTGTGAGATAGGGAAGGTGTGGGTGACACAGACTGCCCACTCAGGAGCCGCAGAGCACACGGGCCACAAGGGAACCAGAGAGCTAGCTGGTGACCGGCCACCACTGCACCGTCCTGAAGGGGACAATAGTACAAAGTCCTGGACAGAGTCAGAGAAAAATAGGGAATATACTGAAACCCATAAAGAAAGGCACCAGGCTTCCTTCCTGGCCATGGACACAAGAGGAAATCCCGACACTCAGGCCCGCAACCACCCTTCAGGTCTGGAAGAGAACCCACCCCTGGGGACCAACTGCTAGCCGACCAACAGACGGGCCTACAAGCTGATCGGTAACACCGGGGAGGAACACAGTTCCTTGAATCGTCAGCCAGAAGAGATCACCAGGGCAGCATTTTCCCCGCACAATGCTCAGAAGGCAGGAAGGGAGAGGTTAGAAGGCTGGAAAGGGTAAACACAGGAGGAGAGTGGGGAGAGTGCCACTACACTGTGGGGACTGCGGCCAACATCACAGACCTAAGAGGTGTGAACTGGTGAATGGGCAACCCACTGGCTCTGTCAATTCTCACTCAGATGACAATAAAAAAAATTACATCACACATCCCCTGCAGGCCCGAGTGACATCTAAGGATACACTTGGGAACAAACATGGGGGAAATCCAAGCTACCAGTTCATGGCTAAGCAGCCCTGGCAGTGCAGGGGTTAACCACTAAGGTGTTAATCCAAAGGTGAGTGGTTCAAACCCACCTGTTTCTCTGCAGAGAAAGACAAGACAGCCTTGAAAGCCCTGTGCCTCAGTGTGCACTGCCCGGCAGGGTCACTCATGGATGGCAGTGGTCACCCGGTGGACTCACAGCCTTGCAAACCCTGTGGGCACTAAGTCCGAGGGCTGTGAGTTTTGGGTTTTAGTCTCAAGCTGAGCAGAGGACAAGCACACAAGTAATGCCACCAACTGTGACAGCAGCTTTGGAATCTTACGTACGTACATACATGTTCAACAGCAAACAACACAACTTAATTGGCCAGGGGCTTCAAGACAACCTGGAACCAGTAAATGGCTTCTGCTGGCCGAGGGTGATCCCCAGACAGTCAAACTAAAAGGTGGGAAAAGGAAGACATCTGAGCCTGGAATAAGACTACGTGACACAGGGGGGCAGGCTTCAGAGAGTCAGGTCGGCTGTGTCGTGAATCCCATACACGAGACACCAGGCCCACACCATGGGATCAGCATCATCACCTCAGCACAGCGTTTCCAACCAAAAGGCAGGAGAGAGGCAAGCAAGAGAGTAACAAGCATGCAGGGGCAGGCCAGGCAGTGGGCACCGTTTTCGGAGCAGCCGAGATGACGGCTCAGCAAAGCAACTCCTAACGCTGCGCTAAAATCACTGAGGAAATCACGTCTAACAGACAAAAGAAGGTATGAGAACAAGGCCTTTAAAAAAGAGAACATTAACAACAACAGAAATGACCACAGAAAGAAAGAAAAGCTGGAAACTGTCATCACAGCAGATGCAGCGAAAGCCAAGCAATGAACAGGGAAGCTGGAGGCATCAGTGCTGCTGAACTGTTGAAGAATATCAAATACACCACGGGCTGTCAAAAGAACAAGCAAAACGGTCCTGGAGGAGGCACAATCCGAGTGCTCCTTAGAAACAAGGATGGTCAAACTTCATCTCGCAGTGTGGGCTACTAAAAAATTGCTAATCGAAAGGTTGGAGGTTCAAATCCACCAGTTGTTCTAAGGGTAAACAATGAGAGAGTCTGTGGCCATAAAGATCTCCAGGCTCAGAAACCCTGGGGGGTAGTTCTACTCGGTCCCCAAGGTCACTGTGAGTCCGGATCAGCAGACAGCAGTAGGTTTGGGGTACATGCTTATTATCTGCCTGGTCTCCCCTGACCCCCCCAAGAATGAGGCTTGCCATGGAGTTGATTCTCTTTACAGTGGCCCCATGTGACAGAGCTGGGCAGCCCCACTAGCTTTCCTAGGCAGACATCACAGGAGCAGAGTGCTCCGTGGGACCACTGGTGGGCTGGGATCACAGGCCTCTTTCTTTATGGGAAAGACCTGGTGGCACAACGGCTAAGCGCTCACAGCTACCTTAAAAACTGGGCTGGACCCAGCAGCCACTAAGAGGGAGAAAAGTAATGCAGTCTGTCTGCGTGAGCTTCTGAGCGAGAACTCACTCATGACTGACTCTCCAGCAAGTTTTCAGAAGCTGCAAATCATAATGGAGCAGCTGGGGGATTCAAACTCGGTGCCTCTAAGCTGGCAGTACAACTCCTTACCCTAGACCAGGAGCGCCCCGGGCGGGTGACTGGGGAGGAATAGGCAAGGTGCAAGGGGATTGGATGAGATGGGGAGATAAAAGGCTTGATCATAGTAATTAACGACATAAAATACAAAGTATATGAATGCATAAGACACAAAGCGCAGAATGAAACACAAAGTAAATGAATGATTGTAGGGAAAGCAACTGTAAAAAATTACAGCCTTGGGAAACCCCACAGGGCAGCCAGACCCTGTCGTTAGGTCAGGCCAGCGCACAGCCTTCACTTAGCGCTCACGGCCAGGTCTTTCTCCCGCTGCACCCCGGGAGGGACCTGAAAACCTCTGGTAAAGAATGCAGGAGGAGCCCGTTTAGCCTTCCCTGGGGACAAAACCTGGCATCGCCGCCTCCAGGCAGCCTCTCGGGTGCCCAGCTGGGCAAAGCTCTCCCCAGCGCTCCCAGAGCCCGGGGTGGCGAGGCGCGGGCCATTCCGCTGCCCCGATCGTGGGTCTCGGGAAGTGGGGAGGGGCAGACCGGGTGGCCGTCCACTTACAGGCGGAGCGACGGCAAAGGCCCGGCCTCACCGGCGCGGGGCAGCGAGAAGCGGCGGGCTCTGCAGGGCAGCGGGCTGCGGGGCGCCGGGCGGGGCGGCGGCACTTATGCGCTAACAATAATGGCAGCTGTCCTTCTGGGACGCCTGCCGAGGCCTGCAGGCCGGGCGGCGAGGCCAGGGCTCGGAGGATGGCGACTCGCGCCCGGGCTTCACGGGACTGCGGGCCGGGCCGCGCTCCAGGTCCCGGACAGAAGGGCAGCCGCGGGGGCAGGAGGCCCCCCCGTGTCCTTACCGTGTCCGAGGCCAGCTCCTCGGGGCCCAGGGACATGGCGGCGACACCTCCGCGCAGCGGCCGCGGCTCCGCCGGCAGGCCAGGCCGCCCGCAGCCTCCGGGCCTGTCCGCGCGCCGCGCCGCGCCGCCAGCCCGCTGCCATGGCAACTGCGCCGCCGGCCCGCGGAGACCCGGATGGAGCGGGGCACGACCGTGCGCGTGCGCGAGGTTTGTGCTCGCGAGCGGGCCGAGTGGCTGCTAGCCCGGAGTGGCCTCGCCGGGAAGGGAGGATTGAACCTCACATTTGCAGGAGCAAGTGAGCGGCGCTTGGAAGTTTACAAAGTGCTTCTGTAGCCCTGATCACACAAAATCGCAACACGGCCTTGTGCTTGCTACCACGTAGCATCCTACGCAGTAGCCGGAGCAGTTCAGAAAGAATAAGTAAATCCCAACAACTAGAATAGAATTAGTCACATATTGTGAAGAATGTAACCAATATTACCGAGCATCTTCTGCAGCATTGTTAAATGTTACTGTTAAACACAATAACACCTTGCTAATTTAACAGACAAAGATAAAGAATAGGCAAGTTACTGTATGTGCCAGCCAGCTGACCCTAAGGCATGACGATCCTGTAGGGCTGTGGAACTTCCTTTTAGGGTGTCCGAGGCTGTGATTTGAGCAGATCGCCAGCTCATTCTTCCTCAGAACCACAGGTGCTTGTGAATCACTGACCTTTCAGCAGCTGAGAGCTTTACTGTTGTCACCAAGAATTCTAGGCAATTAATTAGTAAATATTGGTAGTAAATTACTCCTTGTTGAAAGAGAACTGACAAAAAAGAAAGAAAGAAAGAAAGAGAACTGACGAATTAATGTCATAAAACAAATTGTTTATGAATTGTTGATTAGAAAATCACTTTGCAGCGAGCTCTGGTGGCCTAGTGGCCAGAAGCTGCACTTGCAGTACTAGAGGTACAGCACCAGATGCTCTGCTGGAGAAGGAGGAAAAATCTCCTGTACCAGTCAGATCTGATTTGACGGTACACACACACAATAATAAAAATTTAAAAAAAGAAAATAACTTTGCTATGTAATCTTTCACCCGAATCACAATAAATAGGCTTTGTTTTTATAAAAGGTGACAATGAAAAACACGTTGATGCATTTACAGACTCCATTGGTTACTTTGAATTGACACTGAAATGTGTTTTGAAAAAGAATATTACTAAGAAGAAGAATATTATTAAAAAGTATTACTTGATGCACAAATAGAGGGTAGATCTCACTAAACAACTCATTGCCTTTGGGAGAGTTCTGACATTTGGACACATCACCACTGTCTGTAAATCTTTAAAGAAGGCCTTGCCCATTTTTCTCCTATGAAGCAGCTGGTGGGTTCCAACTGTTGACCTTTTATTAGCATGATGCTACCACGATTAAATGTTTATAATATAATCTAGTTTGGGTACATGATGTTCACTCTAAAAAGTTTTCTACTTTTCTAAAAGTTCAAACATGTTTCATTAACAAAAAACAAACAAACAAACAAAACACAACAAACAGAGAAAGAAAAAGCAGCAGCTCAAATCACTGGATGGGTTCCGGAGGCTGCTAGTTGTGCGAGAGGAAATGACCCATCTTTTTGTGGATGAGCAGCTGATGGATTTGAACTGCTTGCTTTTGGGTTGGCAGTACAACCTTTTACCCATTAGGCCGCCAATAGATAACCTGTTGTTGGTGTTGTTAGGAGCCATCAAGTTAACTACAACTCCTACCAACCCTATGAACAAGAGATCTGAACCTTGTTCTACCCAGAGCCACGCTCACCATCTGATGTGCTCAAGGCCTTTGCTACAGTTACTGCACCCGTCCCTCTTATAGAGGGTCTTCCTCTCTTTCTTTGACCCTCCACCCTTCTCAGCATGATCTTTTCCCATCCTGACCACAGCTCAAGGTATGTGAGACAGTCCCACTATCCTCGTCTCTGAGGAGCACCCTAGCTGCATTTCAACACAGAGCTAAGTTTGTTTATTCTTTTTGCAGCCCATGGGATACTCAGTGCTCTTCTCCAACACCACAATTCAAAGGTATAGATTCTTCTTTTGTCATCCTTACTCATTGTCCTACTTTCAGATGCACAAGAAGTAAATGAAAATAGACAATCCATCATTAAAATTAATAAAATTTAATTAAAAAAATGGACAATCCAGTCTCCTCAAAACCTTTCTGTAAAGCTGATGTTCTCATCAGCATGATGAGCCTTGTTTATGTATCAGCTTTGAGAAACTAGGGCAACATGTCCTCCAGAGGCGTTTTGAGGGGATGACATCTTCACCTCCTTCATTTTCACAGGCCCCAATCACTGGCGACCTTTAGTGGAGACAAGTGCTTACCCAGCTGGCTCTGTGCGTTTGAAGAATTTGTATTTAGAATTAGCCAGCTGGACTCAGTTTAGATGATCCCAATTTTGTTGGCGATATCCAAAGCATCACAATCAGGAGCAAGGTGAACGTAGGCCTTCTCTTTGTCAGACTTTATCAAGGCCTTGACCTTGGCCACATCAGGGTCACAGAGCTTCATTACAGCTTGTTTGATCTGGTGCTTGTTGGCCTTGACATCCACAATGAACACACGTGTGTTGTTATCTTCTGTCTTCCTCATGGCTGACTCAGTGGTCAGGGGAAACTTGATGGCACTGTGGTCAAGTTTGTTTCTCCTGGGGGCGCTTTTCCTGGGGTATCTGGGCTCCTTTGGAGTCTCAGCACGTTAGGCCGCCGGAAGGTGTGTGGCGTGCCTTCTTGCCCTTTAAAGCCTTTGCTTTAGCTTCAGTTTGGGGAGGGGCAGGGTTCCTTTTTGCCTTCGGCGCCACCTTCATAAAAAGGGAAGCTGGCTCCTTTTAGAGGCGTGTTCTCGTCCTCCTTCTAGGCTCCCGGCCAAAGCCCCTCCCCTCCATTACATAACCACGCCCCCGTCGCAGCCCCGCCCCTTCTCTCGACAGCCCCGGAGCGGCTCGGCATGTACCACTGAGTGTCCTGATGGGGGTGATACGTCGGGGATTCTGCTCTGGCAGCAACCTTTCTCCACCCATCTCAGCAAGAGCTTCTTATTTCCCCAAGTTCTTGTCCTTTAGGACCAAAACAGCGGCTTCTAAGGAGAGAATCAGTAGTTCTAGCGCTCCCACTCACTCCTGCTTCCCCTCCGGACCCAGCAGGTTGAGCGGTCCACTCCAGTGGGCGGGGCGACTGGAGGGCGGGGAGAACCGCGCGAGGGGCGGGGCCAGCGGCGCGCGGGCGGAAGTGGAGCGCGAGAGCCCGGGAGGGGCCCTGGCGTGGTTCCGGCTCTATGATCCTTGACTCTGGGCTTCGGGAAGGCCGCCTGCGGGCGGGAACCTCGTGCACGCCAGAGCCTGCCGCGATTGTCAGGTCCCCACGCCCGGCGCCCCTCTGGTCCATGCTGGGGACTCGGCCGAGCCTTGGAGCTAAGGCTACCCGGCTCCAGATTGCAGGGAAAGCTCATATCCCCGGGACAGAGCCTCACACTGATGGACAGACGAGATCCCGACCCCTACAGACCTACACCCCTGGCCCTCACCTAGAGCCACCGACACCCTCTCCTGAGCGCTCACCTGGACCTGGACCCTTTGACACAAGGCACCTCCAACCTAGACACACAGGTACCCTATCTTACTCTGACACACAAGCGCCACCTGACCCCACGAGGGGCGTTGCAGACCCAGGTCCACGGAGGGCGGCCCTGCCACACTCTCCTGCTGACATGGCTTTGTCAGATGCACTGCAGACACAGCTGGCCCTGGGATGGACACACACTTTGCAGTCTGGACGGATGTGTGAACAGATACATGGTCCTTCCAACATCTTCAGTTCCAAAACTCAGACAAGTGCAGCTCTAGTCTCTGCAATCGAATGCCTCCACTCTCAAGTCCAAAGTTAACAACAGGTCCTGGGTTTAGACCAGATTCAATTATGGCCCACACAGGCGGTCCTAACTCGGGCCCTGGTTCTGTTGTGGTTAGATGTCATCTGGTCATTCAGATCATAGCGTCCCCTTGCAACAGAGAGCTGTCCCCTAGGGTATCCTTGGTAACAGTTCGAGCTGATGGGACCCACAGATTTTTCTCAAACAGGACCTAGGCGGATTCAAACCGCCAACCTTTCCCTTACTAGGTGAACACTTAAGCAGCAGCAGCACTAGAGATTTGTTTTTGTGTTTATTTTCTTGTTGTGTACCATCAGTCAGGAGTCAGATCTGACTGGCACAAGAGGAGATTGCCCCTCCTTCTCCAGCAGAGCATCTGGTGGTTTTGAACTGTGTGCCTTCCTGATTGCTTATTACCAGGCCATCAGAGGTCCTTTTGGTACCAGAGTTTTTTAACACCTCATTTTAAAAACTCAAACAAGCCTAGTGCAGTGAAGTTGATTCCCACTCACAGCGGTCCTGTAGTACAGAGTACAAACTGTTTCCCCCAAACTGTTAGTATTTGTGGAAGTAGATGGCATAGTTTTTTCTTCTATGGGTTCAAACCACCAAACTTTTGGTTAGCAGCTGAGTGTGTAGGCGCTGCCCCGAAGGCACCTTGCCCACTTACTGACTCACAGTGACCCCGTGCACGGGGCTTGTACTGTCCGCCCGTGTTGCTGCGCTTGGCCCATTGCTTTATCCCGTCAGCCCATCCTTGAGGACCTCCCTACCTGTGTTTTACCAAGCATGATGTCCTTCAGGAACTGGTCCCTCCTGACAACATGTCCATGGTTCTGGGAGCCGTGGTCTTCCGAGGTGTGTCTGAGGGAGCATCGGAGACCTTGTCCTAGACCCTAGTGATGCAGTGATAAAAGCTAACCAAAAGATTGATGTTCAAACCAACCAGCCAAACAGTGGGAGAAAGATGAGGCAATCTGTCTCTATAAAGACTGACAGTGGGGGGCAGTCCTGTGGGGATAGTTCTCTGTCCTGCAGGGTCTCTAAGTCAGAATTAACCTGACTGCATTGGGTTTTGTTTTCTTTTGTCTTAGACTTGAGCTGCCTGTGAGGAGGGCCGGTGGGGTTTTGATCTGAGCCTGGCTTGGGGTCTGCCCCTCAGATTCTTTGCAGGAACCCCGGCTTCGCCATGGACCCAGAATGCTCCCGGCTCCTTCCAGCGCTGTGTGCTGTTCTGGCAGATGCGCAGCAGCCCGTGACGGATGATACCTGCTTAGAAAAGCTCCTGGACTGGTTTAGAACAGTCACACAAGCAGGTGAGTGGGGGCTGGGGGACAAAGGCTGCTGGGTGTCCGGGAAGGAGCAGGACAATGGTCCCATCTTGTCTCTGTGACAGTGGAACTGCTGTCACATACCCTTCTTTAAGAAGATTCTATGTGAGTGGATTATATTTGGGGCTAGGGGGTGGGATTTGGGGAGGTGCGGGGGGGGGGGTGATTGTGTACCAATGAGGGAGTTTTTCTTTTGCTTTTCAAGGAGAGGAGCAAATGGGGGGGAGGGGGGAGGGGTTTGTGCGGGGAGAAGGGTGCAACAATGAATGAATGGAATCCCAAAATCTCTGTAGATGTTCATTGAAATGAAAAATAAACAACCTAAATTTAAAAAAAAAAAAAAAAAGAAGATTCTATGTGGGACATAGGGTTTATTGTGATGGGCAAGTCTGTTTTTAGGGACCTCTCCAGAGTACTGAAGAGCAGTGGTGTCACTCTGGAGACTAAGGTGCGTCTGCTACAGGCCATGGTCTTTGCAATCATTTGTTATGCATCAGAGAGTTGGACAGTGACTAGGAAGGACAGAAGGAGTATTGATGTCTTTGAGCTGTGGTGCTGGAGAAGAGTATTGAATGGACCATGGACTGCCAAGAAAAGAAACAGATTCAGAGAGGGTTAAATCAGGCTGCTCCTTGGAGGCAAGGATTCTGGGGCTTCGTCTGACATACTTTGGTCGTGTTGTAAGGAGGGACAGTTCCTTGGAGAGGGACATCATGCTTCGGAGGGTGAAGGGACATCGCAAGAGGGGAAGATCCTCTATGAGATGGATCAATTCAGTGACTGGGGTAATCGGGATGGGTGTGTCAGAGGCAGTGCAACTGGCACAGGACAGAGCAGGGTTTAGGGCTGTTGTACATAGGGTCGCTATGAGTCGCAAGCGACTCGACGGCACATAACAACAACAATTATGTGGGACACGACAAGCTGAAGCAGGAGTGCGAGATTAGGAAAGCTAGGACTCCAGCTTTTCGGGTCCCAGCGTCCTGCATTCAGTGAATACCACCAGTACTGGTTGCCGTGGTGTAGACTGATCCATGTGTGTCCCCGTGTATGTAAGAGCAGACTGTACTTACTAGGGGTTTCTCTTATTTTTCTGAAAACTGTTCATTGTCATTCGGGAGAGAGTTTACAGAACAGATTGGTTTGCCAATCATTAATTCATAGACATGTTGTGTGACATTGATTATAATCCCCACTTTATAGCAGCACTCTTCCCATTTCCTCCTTGTGATTCTTGCTTTCATTCATCCTTCTCTCCCATCCCTTTCTGCCTTCTGAGATTTTTTTCCCCTGGGCAAATGCTGCCTTTTGATCTCACGTGATTGATATTCTAAGGAGTATCTTGCTCCTTGGTATTATTGTTCACTTTTAGTCCTGTCTCTTGTTTGGTTGAAAGTTGAGTCATTGAGGGGGGATGACTTCAGTTCTAGACTAAAAGAGTGACTAAGGATCATAGTCTTGGAGATTCCATCCATTGGGGTTTTGTTTGTTTTATATTAAGAAAAACTTGTGCTTAAATTAGCCAGCTGGACTCAGTTTAGATGATCCCAGTTTTGTTGGCAACATCCAAAGCATCATAGTCAGGAGCAAGTCGAACATAAGCCTTCTTTCCATCAGGCTTAATCAAGGTGTTGACCTTGGCCACATCAAGCAATACACATCCACCAGTGTTCTGTGAAAGAAAGGTGGTCAGTGTCCTCCCATGATGATCTGTGGCCTCTGTAACTGGAGGGAGGTCGCTGTGCACTGGAACTGACTCAGCAGCAGTGGCGTCATTGGAGTTGTTGTTGTTAGGTGGTGCCATCGAGTTGAGTACGACTTCTAGCGACCCTGTGAACACAGAGCTGAATCCTGTCCTATCCTGTGCCATCCTCGTACTTCCTGACACACAACAGCCCATTGTGGCGGTTACTGTATCATTCCACCTGGTCGAGGGTCTTCCTGTCCTTTGCCAACCCTCCACCCTTCCCAACATCATGTCCCTCTCCAAGGAACAGCGCCTCCAAGCAACATGCCCAAAGTATGTGAAATGAAGCCTCATCATCGCCTCCAAAGAGCACTCTGATTGCATCCTCTCCCAGACGTATCTGTCTATTCTCTTGGCCGTCCATGGCTCTTCAGTGCTCTTCTCCAACACCACAGCTCGAAGGCGTCAATTCTTCTGTCATCCCTATTCACTGTCAGCTCTCAGAAGCACAACAAGTGATTGGAAAGACCATGGCCTGGATCAGACAGACACCCCTTGGACCTCAAACTGACATCGTTACTTCTCAATAAGTTGGAGAGGCCCTTAACTACAGACTTTCCTAGTGTAATATGTCATTTTGCTTGTAGGTCTGGCAAGGAATTCCTGTTCTATTCTGCCTCTCTGTCCATGAGTTTAAGGAAGAAATGTCAGTTTGGTATTTACTAATAGTCTTTTGTTTTTAATTGCATGCCTTTCTGATAATCAGTGAGTTAGACTACTGTTTCAGGTTTGCTGGTCATTTATATTCCCTGTTCATGATATTTAGCTGAATCATTAGCTGGAGTCGAGGTGGCCTCCAGCTATGCCCCTAACATAACCAACCCACACCCACCCCAGGGTCAGAGTGTTGTCATGGGCACCTTTTCAGAAGTAGCCAGGCCTTTCTTCCTAGTCTGCCTTATTCTGGATTTCCACTGAAACCTGTTCAATATCACAGCCACACTCAAGCCCCTGCTGACAGAGGGCTGGTGCCACTGGTTGAGCTCTTAACATCCTAGCGTCCCTCCTGTTTTAGTCCTCTGGGGCTGCTGTGAGGGAGCTCTGGTGACCTAGCCGTAAGGAGTTGTACTGCCAATCCACAGGCCAGTGGTTCAAATCTACCGGCTGTTCTGTGGGAGAAAGGTACACTTTCTCCTCCCACATATAACTTCAGAAAACCCACCGGGTGTCATCTCTGAGTCTGTTTCAGTTTGACAGCATATAGCAACAGACAACAACAGAACTGATATACACCACAAGGGGGTGGCTTTAACAGACAGAAAGTTATTCTCTCACCATTTAGGAAGTTAGATGAGCAGATTCCAGGCAGAAGCTTTAGGCAAGACACTGTCTCTGGGCCTCCTGGCCTGCAGTTTGCTCGCATCCAGGCCTGGGCCCGAAGGGCATGCCATTCTCCTAGCCCTTCTTTCTTGGTGGCCCTGAGATCTTGTCTCTTCTCTACTTACTCCTGTTCTTTCACGGCCTGTGAGTTAAACCGTGACAGGCACATCCCCGCAAAGCTCCCCTTACAGCAGACCAGGGTTGTGATGGGATTAACAATGTTATGTAGTCTTCCCCACCAACAAATAATAACCTTTTTTGTCACTATTAAAAGTCTGGATTTTAAGTGGCTTCTTGAAGCAGTGGCTGGTAGCCATCAGCTCGCTCACCTCTCTGGGATCCCAGAGCCACCACCTTCACCAGGAGGCTCCTGAGTTTGTCCAACTCAAACCTGGGCTTCTTCAGCATTTTGACTTTTCTAACAAGTCCATCCTGGAGAGGATAAGAAGACTCGCAAGCCTTTTCTGTCTTTCCCAGTGCTGTGTGGGATCAGTTCATTGACCACTTCTCTCAAGTCACTTGTCTGCGCCTCTCAGGTCAGGATTTTCCCTCATTTTCTTCCAGATTTGGCGGACCTGTTGGTGCTGAGCATAACAGGTCTTCTGAATCTGATTGTTGTTTTTTGGGTTTTGTTTTGTTTTGTTTTGTTTTATGAAGGCACTTTTTTTACATTTTTTTTATTTTGTAAGTGTGTGTGTGTGTGTGTGTGTTCAAATCGGATCTGACTGGTACAGGAGGAGATTGTCCCTCCTTTCCCGGTAGAGCATCTGGTGGATTTGAACCATGCGCCTCTGGGATTGCAGTGCAGCTTCTTGCCACTAGGCCACCAGAGCTCCCCTGTTTTGTTTTGTTTTTAAAAAAAACAAAAACAAAAAAACACCACAACACAAAACAGACGAAGCCAGTAGCCATCGGTGGTCTTGACATTCGCACGAGCTTCAGTCGTGGGCTGCCACTTTCTGACCGTGGAGCATGTTTAATCACGAGTGAGATTCGTGCCGTGGAAGCCGGTGAGGTGGTCCTTGCCTTGAACATCCTCAGTAATTAGCGTGAATTTTCTAAGCGCACCCTCATCGTTTTGCTCACTTGAGTCCATCTGGCGCAATCGTGGTTCCTTGAGTCCTTGTGACTGGTGGCGTCCCTGTAGTTCTTACAGTGAACAGAGCCAGTGCCTTTATGCCACACCGGTCTTTCTTAGAAAACAGATGAACCACTTTCTCCCTGGCCCCTTTGTCACCACCTCTCTGAGGCGCGTGTTCTTGCCGACAACCGTGGTGGTGCTCAGAGAGCAGGAATGTCATGCAGTCTTCTTATGACTGGTTTGTCACACCACCGGCGATCATGACATATTTCGCACATGACATCGTTGTGTGTGTACATTTTTGGGGGGACACAGGTGAGTCTAAGATACCTTCCCATTACTGAATTGAAGTCGGGAATCCTGGTGCATTTCTTGTGGATAGCATCTCCTAGTGGCTGCGTGGAAAGGCCCAGGATGACTCCGCCTGTGGCCTCGTGACCACTCCCTTGCAGAGTCCAGTGTCCAGCTGCTGCAGGAGAACCCTTGCCTTGTGGGGCTGCTGTCCCAGGCCCTGAAGAATCAGGACCTGAGTTCCAGAGTCCTTGCCTTCTCCTTGCGCCTCGTGGGGATATTTGCCGCTCAGGAAGACTGCTTCCAGTACCTCCAGGTGAGCCGGGTCCCCCCACCTGGCCGCGCCCCGACAGGTGGGCTTCATTGATGCAGGCAGGCCTGGGAGGCATCTGCAGTCTGCACGGCTCCACTGGCTGCCCTCAGGGAACTCAGCCTCACGGAGGAACTGGGACAGGAGCGGAGGCCGTGAGCAGGGGCGGGCAGTACCAGGCCCGGGAAGCCTGTCACTCGCTGTCCCACACTTGGGAGGGCCAGTGTCCAAAAAGTGAAGAAGCAAAACACCAGGCCCACTGTCGCCAAGTCGGTTCTGACTAGCGACAACCTTCCCTAGGTCTTCCAAGCTTATAAATCTTAACAGGAGCACAAGACCTCAATTCTGTGAAGCAGGTAGTGGATTTGAACTTCTGACTTTCACCTGTCAGGCGTTTAATCTTCTGTGCCACCAAGACTCCCTGTTTTCCAAACCTAATCCTGTCTCGTTGATCCGACTCTTGATGGCGCTCCATTCGGTTTCAGAGTCTGTGAATCTTAACAGGAGCGGATGATCTCATCTTTCTCCCAAGGAGCAATTGGTGGATTTGAACTGCCAACCTTTTTGTTAACAGCCTCAGAATCCCAGTGGAGGGTCGCTGTGTTGGAATTGACTCTACAGCCATTTTCCTGGGTTTTGGTACCATCAAAAGCTGTACTGATAAACCACATGGTGAAGATGAAATGGACACATAAATGACCTGAACTGACACGGGGAGAAGCAGAAACTGTCCGTAGCCCTGGCCCATGGAGTCACTGTCAGCAAGCAAACGCTTACCAAGGGCCCAGCTGACTCCAGGAGAAACAGATGCTCTGAGCAGCCAGTAATCAGAACCTCCCGGCACAGAAAACACCAGTCCTGGACTAGCTGACTTCCCCAGACGTTAGAAAGAAGAGCACCCTTCCTTCCCAGACTCTTCAGGAAAACAGAAGAGAGGGATTGCTTCCTCAACACCTTGACCTTGAAGTCATATGAAGACTCCACCAAGGAAAGACAGCTAGACTGGTGGACTGATGGACGGGCGGACTCTGGTGCAGAATTTTTTAACAGATAACTCTGTGTCAGTCCTGTCTCCCCAGGAAAAGGGCCACTCCGTCTCACCTCTCTTTGTCTCCAGCAGGGGCAGTTGATCCTGGGGCTCTTTGGGGAGGCGGGCCCCCTTGGCCTGCCAGCCTGGAATGTTCCCTCCGTGCGCAGTGGCTGGATCCACGGCCTACGCTCCCTGGCGCAGCACCCCAGTGCTGAGCGGTTCCTGGCCGACTGTGGTGAGTCACGCTCTGAGACCCCTGACCTCTCCAGGTCTCACCTCCAGCCCCACGTCCAGCCTGTGGCTCCGGGACTCGGGCAGTTCTTCTCCCTGCCCACACTCAGGGTTCTTATCTGCACACAGTGGCCGCACTGAGAGATGTGGGATGAGTTACTTAAACTCTTTCAGTCTGTTTGTGGATAAAATCTGGATCACACTACATCCCTCACTATGGGATTGCAGAGATGAGATAATGGAACCCATGCGAGTTCCTGACAAGACTGACAGTGGCCCGTCGATTCTCTCCAGATGCGTTTGTGCGTGTACATCTGTTTACATACACACGCGTGTGGAGCCCTCTGGTGCGGTGCTTAAGCTCCCACGTGCTAACCTAAAAGTGAGTGGTTTGAGCCCACCAGCCACTCCATGGGAGAAAGGTGACGCCTTCCCGCTTCTGTCGAGGTCACAGCCTCACGGACCCTGGGGGCAGGGTCCTCAGAGGTGGGGAAGGAGTTGGGCTACTAGGTCAAGACAGGTAGTGCCAACCCCGAGCTGCTTCTTGGCAGGAAGATGACCATCTCCTCCTGGGCAGTTTAAAGCCTCTGAAAGCCCACGGAGGTTTCCCAGTGGACGGCAGTGAGTATCCAAGTAAAATGTGCTCTGCAGGGTTTTAGCGGCTGCCTTTCTAAAGGAGCTCACCAGGCCTTTCTTCTGAGGTACTGCTGAGTGGACTCGAGCCTAAAACCTTACTCTTAACAGCTGAGCACTTATCTGTCTGGGCCAGCCCAGGACTCACAGCTACACGTCCACCCCGCCCTGTGTCTCTGCGTGCATGTGTACACGTACATGTGTGCACACTCCCCGAGCCTGCTCCCCTCTCCTTCCTGCCGTCCACCCCTAGGTGCTGTGGACACCCTCTTCTCCCTGCAGGGGGACTCCAGCCTATTCGTGGCCTCCGCTGCCAGCCAGCTCCTGGCACAGGTCTTGGCTCTGTCCCTCCAAGGCACAGCTGGCCCACAGCTGGATGCACAGGATGGCGCCTGGCCCCCGTGTGCCCAGAGCATTGTGACCTACCTTGGGGAGTCCCTGCGCTCCGGAGACTCGCCGCTGGTCACACAGGCGCTGAAGGTCCTCACCACCACGTTCGGATGCTGCTACCAGCCCTGGACGGCAGCCCTTTGGAGGCAGCTGTGCCCCCTGGTGGCCTCGCTCCTGGAGAAGAACCCAGTGCCTGCACCCCACTCACTGGTGGACCTCCTGCTCAGCATGGCACGGTCAGCCCCTGGGGCCCAGCGGTGGGAATGGCCAGGAGTGGGGGCAGAGGAAGGCTTCGAGTGGGTACCAACCCTGGGGTGCTTGTCATCGGAAGCCAAGCCTGGGGAGGGTCCCCTGCTCCCACCCAGGGCACTGCTGTACCTGAGGACCCAGGATGGACTCTGGAAGTCCTCTCCGTGTCTGGGACCGCAGGGCGCTGGACCGTGTGCTCGGCCGCTAGCCGAGAGATTGAAGCGCGGTGGGTGAAACACCTGCATTGCACTTCCTTGAATCACGGCATTGACAGATCTGAGCGGTGCAGCTCCGCTCTGACACACATGGGGGCACCAGGGGCCAGAGTCGACTCCGCACACCTGGGGTTACGTTCCCTGCAAGGTCAAAAATCTTTTGGGGTTCTCTGCAGGTCTCCAGTGTTCCAGTCTCCCGACTGTGACCTGTGGGTGATGCTGGCCCAGACGCTGAGCCACCTGAGCCCAGTGCAGGGTGGGTCCCTGGCTCTGGGGATCCTGAAACTCCATGGCTGGTATGCACCTGGGGGTGTTATTCAGGGTTTGCCCCAGTTGCTGGAGGGGTAGGGCTGGCACCCCAGCAGCTGGCCGTCACTTCCCTGGCTTGAAGTGGGGGGGCAGTGGGGGCAGGACCTCACCATGCACCGCCTTTCACCTTGTGTCCTCAGTCCCCAGGCTCTGAGGTCCCAAGCCTTTACCGTCCTCCTTCAGCCGCTGACCTGTGTCCTGGTGGCTGCTGCCCAGCCCCCCGGGGCTCCAGGTGAGCACTGAGACCTCAGAGGTGTCAGATTAGCTGGCAAAGCAGAGCAACTTATTAGACACCAGGGGGCTCCTGTCTGCGCAGGGACAGGCTGCCCGGGAGGCCATGGGGCCCACTCCCACAGGCTCTAGGAGGCTTCCCAGTGCAGCGGGGCTGTGAACAGGGCCTGGCTTCTCATCCCTCCTGAGGTCCGGGTCACTGGTGCCAGCCCTGTAGGCTGCACTCGCCACACTGACCAGGGCCAGCCTCTCTTGGAGCCTCGGCTGGCCCTGCATGTGGCACCAGCAGTGAGGTCAGTGAGCAGGAGGCAGCCACCCAGGGGCTGCTATTCCAGCTGCCGGCTCTCTGTCCCCTAGATCTGCCGAACAGGACCGAGAGCAGCCCGATGATGGCCGAGACGCTCCTGGCGTCCTCAACATCGTGCACCAGCCTTCTGTGTCAGAGCCTGGCCCACCTGGCCGAGCTGCAGCCGCTGGTGGGGGTGAGCCAGCTGGGAATGGAGGCACCCCTCCTCAAAGCCACTCTGACTACACTCCGTTTCTGCAATGGCTCGGCGGTGCCCGTGTCCAGTGTGGGGTCCCGCCTCTGCAGGGTCCTGGCTGGCTGCGTCCGTGTCCAGCGTGCGGCTCTTGACTTCCTGGGCACGCTGGCTCAGGGGGCAGGTTCGTGTGACTCCACTCCTCACCTCTCAGCTGCCTGCGCCCATGCTTTGCTGGATGCTCTCAGAGGTGGAAGCGTCACAGCTGTAGGTTTATAGAACAGTTGGTTTTCCGGTCAGCCCTCGGTACTGACTATAGTCCCCACAGTCGCCACACTCGTCCCGCTCCTTCTCTATGATTCTCATTTCCATTCACCCTTCCCCCCGCCCTTCTGCTGTGGTTTTTTGTGTGTGTGTGGTTTTGGTGGTGTTTTGTTTTTTGTTTTTGTTTTTTATGACTACTTAAGGGTTTTTTTAAATTTATTTTTATTTTAATGCAAGTTTACAGAGACTGTGGATTTCCAATCATTCATTATTGCACTCTTTCTTCCCTGCCCACCCCACCTCCCCAGGTCTCATTTCTATTTGAAAAGTAAAAAAAACAAAAATTTATTTCATTGTTATACAATCCCTTCCCCCCAGTTCACTCCACTATGCAGCTTTCATTCTAGACTCCTGTCGTGACCATAATACCTAATCACATATACCCTTTAAACAGTTCTCTCCCTCATCTGTTTTAATGCAATATATATTGTTTATCCCCTCTTAGTTTTCCCCCAACCCCGATGTCCATCCAGTTTTACAACAGTGGCACTATATAGTATTTGTCCTTTTGTGACTGAGATATTTCACTCAGCATAATGTCCTCCACAGTTGAGTAATATTTCATGAGTTGGTTTTCAATGCAGCGTAGTATTCCATTGTGTGAATATACCAGAGCTTCTCTAGCCATTTGTTTGTTTATTGGCACTTGGATTGTTTCCAGCTCTTTGCTATTGTGAACAAAGCCACGATAAACATGAGTGTGCACAAGCCTGGTTGGCTTTTTTGTTGTTGTGGGTTTATTTTTTTTTTTAAATATTTTTTTTATTTTATTATTTTGTGGGTGTGTGTACCGTCAAATTAGATCTGACTGGTACAGGAGGAAATTGTTCCTCCTTCTCCAGCAGAGCATCTGGTGGATTCAAACCGTGCACCTCTGGGATTGCAGTACACCTTCTTGCCACTAGGCCACCAGAGCTCGCCAAGCCTGGTGGTTTTAAAGAGTGTGTTCCTCCCTGGTGTCGCTGTCACATTCTAGGCCAGTTGGTTGGTTGGTGAGAGTTCAATTCAGTGGTGAGCTTAGGTCCAACGGTTTGCTGTTCTGAGGCTCAGGCTCTGCTGGGACCTGGGAGAACCCAGTGTGGGGTTGGGGTACTCATCTATTTGTCCTGCCCCAGGCTGCCCAGAGTTGGTGATGCAGGTGTTCACCGTCCTCCTGGAATATCTGAGGAGCCCTGAGTCAAGCCCAGCGGTAAAGGGGTGTGGAAGCAGGGAGGGGCAGGGCCAGAGGGATGCCCCTTCAGGTGAGGTCCAGGGATCAGAGAGGGGTCGGGTAAGAGGGGACCCCCTTCAGGTGAAGGGCCGGGTAAGAGGGGACCCCCTTCAGGTGAAGGGCCGGGTAAGAGGGGACCCCCTTCAGTTGAGGTCCAGTATTGGAGCTGCACCACCCGGTTGCACAGAGCAGGCACTGGGCTGTGGGCACCAGGAAGGAGCAGATTAAGGGCTGGTCAAGGCGAATCCCTGGCCCTTCCAGCCCCACTGTCACTCCAGGTCCTCAAGAAGACGTTCCAGGCCACTCTGCGCTGGCTTCTGGGCGCTTCGTCATCGAAAGCCAGGGGTTCCTGTGACATCAGCCCCGACACCCAGAGCTTCCTCGGAGGTACCCCAGCTCCCAGGGAAGAGTGAACAGAGTGGGCTGGCAGGGGGAGTCCTGGTCCCCTCCTGGGATAGTGGCTGAAGGGAGGTGCCCAGGGGCAGGGAGGGTGTGACCGAGGCCACACTGATGGCTCTTGGGCTGGGCTTCCAGAGCTCCTGCCCACAGTACAGAAACGGCTGTGCAGCCCATGCTGGGAGGTGCGGGACTCGTGCCTGGAGTTCCTGGGCCACCTGACCACCCACTGGGGAGGTGAGTGCCCTGGGGCCAGGGTGGGGGGTGGCCTCGCCCTGAGGGCCTGAGTGTCCTGTGCTCTCTCCCTCAGGGGAGGTCAGTGTCCCTGGGGGGAAGGGGTCCAGAATGCCAAGGTGTGGTCTCTGTCCTGTGCCTTCTCCTCAGGGCAGCCCAGCTTCCAACAAGCCCTCCTGGCCTCCGATGTGCCTGAGCTCACCCAGCAGCTTCTGCAGGACCCTGAGGGCTATGTCCGCGCCAGCGCAGTGGTCACTGTAGGGCATCTGTCCACCTGGGGGCTGCAGACCACCCGGGAGCACCCAGGAGCCCAGCAGGTAGGGGCCCATGGCCCAGCACCCAGTCCTCCTCTGTAGGACCACCCGCTGTCCCTGCCGGTGTGCAGGCCTGGCCGCCTGGTGAGCCACTGGCCGCGGCTCCTGGCATCACAGGCCCCGTCACGCTGCACTGTGCAGACCGGCTGCTCACAGGGAAGGCGGGAAGCTGCCCTGCACCCACGTCTGTGAGAGCCGTCCGCCGACGGTGCACGCTCGTTTCCTGTGCCTGGGCCCACTGTGGTCATTCTCATTGCATGTTCCTTGTTCACTCGCTGCAGCCTCTTCCCTAGACTGCCACTCCTAGAACACACCATGTCCAGCGTCCCCCTCTCTGTGACCCTGGGGTTGGGCAGACTGTCCCACCAGCTCCCAGTCCGCAGGAGCAGCTGGCCCCATCTCCCTGCCATTAAAGATCAAGCCATGGAGGGGCTCTGTTCAGCCGCGCGCCCCCCGCACAGGCACAGGGCTTTGACAGTTGCACGGTCTGGTCCACGACAGCCGGCACTCTGCCTCTGTGTTCTGTGCATTTTCTGGCTGTCTCAGCCTCCCAGCAGTGTTGTATCATTGTACCCATTGGACGGATGAGCCAGTAGAGGCACAAAGAACACCTTGCTCCAGGGCATGCAGTGTGAGAGCCCAGTGTGCAGGGGCCCCCTGACCAGGTGCTTCTTCCTTCCAGACCTCCTGCTGGGTCTGAGTGAGGTCCCAGTCTGGCCCTCTGATCCCCCCTCTCGTTTTCTAGAAGAGTCTGTTCCCGGAGCTGCTGCACATCCTGTCCACGGACTCGGAGGGCTTCCCCCGGAGGGCTGTGATGCAGGTCTTCACGCAGTGGCTGCGGGACGGCCACCCCGAGGTGGCCAAGGACCCAGAGCAGTTCATGTCCAGCGTGTTCCAGGTGCTGAGCCGGGATCTGGACTGGGACGTGCGCGTCCAGGGCCTCCACCTGGCCCAGGTGTTCCTGGACCAGACGCTTGGGCCACCTGGCTGCCCCTATGTGGTGGACCCACCTGCTGCGGCCCCATCCACCGTGTCTGCCGAGGTGCTGCGGATGCTGGGCCGGGTGCATCTCCTTGAGTTTGCCTTCCGTGCCCTGTCCGACTGTGACCGGCCAGTGGCCCAGAAGTCCTGCGACTTCCTGCTGCTGCTGCGGACCCGGACTGCCCCAGATGGTGGGCTGCAGGGGGCTGGCCAGGACCCTGACCCGGCCACCGTGGAGGCCACTCTGCGGGTGTGGCGGGGTGAGCAGGACCAGGCACGGGGCGAGTTGGTGCCCGAGGTGGTGGTGGGCATGCTGTGGGCCCTGGACCTGGAGGGTCTGCAGGCTACGTTGGCTGAGAGCAGTGACCACGTGGAACGGAGCCCCCAGTCTCTGCTGCAGGACATGCTGGCTGCTGCAGGTGCCCTGGGCGAGCATGAGGCCGACTGCTACTGAGACACAGCCCGAGGACGGAGCCGGCCTCGCCGCAGCTGGAGGAAGCCCCTTCCACAGACGGCGTGTCTTCTACCGATGTGAGCTGCATCGGCTACACTTCATCCTAGAATGGGGACACTCGGGCAGGCCCTGGCCTGTGGGGGACACTCCCCGGGCTCTCAAGAGACACTGGTGGCCTGTGACAGCACCTGCACAGGACACCCCCTCCCCGGGCTCAGGGACCTCTGGCTGACCTGTGAGAGACCCCTGACCCCAGACCTCTACCTCTCCCAACAATAAAGGCCCCCATTTCAGCCTCAGACAAGGTCCGGCTCCGTCTCTGCCTTCCACAGGATGACCCATAAACTAGTGAGGTAGGGGAGGCTTGGGGCAGAGTTCTACCTTCCGGGCAGGAGACCTGAGTTCGATTCCCAGCCAGTCCATCCCCTGTGCAGCCACTGCTGTTGTCACGGAGACCTGGGTGTGGCTGTGACGTGGAACAGGTTTCAACAGTGCTTCCAGACTCAAATAGACAAGGAGGAAAGGCCTGGCAATCTGCTTCTAAAGCTCAGCCCGTGAAATCCTATGGTTCACGACATTCCAGCCCATGGCCACCACGAGGAAGGTGCCGGACCAGGCAGTGCTCTGTTCCCGTGTCCCTGAGGTCAGCTTAGACAGCACGTACACCTCCACAACCCTGAGCAGGTGTGAGGGAGAGACAGCCATGCGGGCAGTCACACTGGACACAAGGACGCAAGGTCAGGGGCACTGTCTGGCCAGGTGACACCTGCCTTCCTGTAGAGAGGACACCACACTGTTAGCCTTCAGGACCTGGTGGCTCCATGCTGGGCTTAAAGGGCACTGGGCCTGCTTCTGATGGAGACAGAGTACAGGGAATCGAACCCACTGCTGCTGGAGTTGAGTCCAACTTGGGCTGTGCAGGACAGTCCTGCAGGGGCCCCAGGCTGCACTCTGACCAGGGCCGCTGTGGCCTGGACACAGCTGTGTGGCTCACCGGGAGGATTCATCTCTGGAAGATCGAATCCGTCCAACCCCTCGGTGGCTCATGGAACAGAGGTGGCCTCTCTCCTGTGCAGTTTACAGCGCAGCAAACTGGAGGTTCAGCTCCGACTCCACAGCGGTGAGCTGAGCTGCATCGTTCCAGGAGCTGGTGGGGTTTTACCTCTGACCTTGGTTAACCTCCCAGCACCCAGTGCTTAACCAATGTGCTGGCTGCAGGGTGGGAAAGTGAGGTCTCCCTGGGCAGCAGGAGGGAGTGTCCCTGGGGCAGGTAGGAGGGACTGACCTGAGACAGGTAGGAGGGACTGACCTGGGACAGGCTTGGCTTTGTACAGCACAGAAGCTCTTCCTTGTGAGCCTGCTACGTGGCTGATGGGAACCCAGATGCCCCCAGGTTACCCCATCAGTCACCCCACAAACAGTTGGAGGCCTGCCTAGTGTCCAAGCTGCCACAACAAAAGGCCACCAATCCAACTGCTGTGGAGTCATTTCCTGGACGATTGTTCCACAGGGTGTCCTAGACACTGTGTGTGTGTGTGTGTGTGT